CTGGTAAAAATAAGGCGAGTTAATTATTTCTGCCACCAGTGTACATCCATATTTATGTACATATGTTTTGTCGCTATTTTCTAATCTATAAAATTTCTTTACATTCTATTGTATAATACATTTTTATAATTTTAATCAATCTACAAACATATTTCTGTTGTTTCTGAAACTTTTTAATTTACAATATCTTATAATTTTTTTTGTTTTCAGGCAGGAAATCTCCATTTTTGGGGTTCATTTGCAAAACAAACGGTAAAGTTTTTAGTATTTTTGTTTGGGTTGCATTTTGTTTATTTTATTGTTTTGTTGTTTGTTTCCGCTGCTTGTGTTTTTCAATGTGCTTGTCTTTTTTCATTATGTCTATGTGTTTGTTTTATTTTATTATTGTTATTTTTGTGTTAATGCGTTTTTTTATGATGGTCAGAAAATTTTAAATGTTTATATTTTATTATAAAAATATAACTTGAATGCAATAAAGGTAACAATCCCTTGTTTGCTGGAAGAATGTCGTGTTATGAGATATCAAAATTCTCAAATTTTTAACTAGAAGAAAGCTTTCATCATTTGTTCATCCACCAAACGTGAGATATACATATGTGCATTTATGAACAGAAGGATCTCTTTTTGTGCGTTTGATTTTTGTTTGCATGTTCTTAAACGAAGTCAATTTTTTTTTTCAAAAATCAGCATTCAATGAGAGCTGTCAACGACTGAAATTGGGCGTCGAATCAATAAATAATCTGGTATTAACCCTAAAACAGTGATTTAGTACTAAGAACTAAAAAAATATAGGTGAGAAAAATTAATGGAGCGTTACACCTAAAGTAAAAAATGTTCTTCTGAGTTTAGTCATATTTTATAAGTTTGTATGCATAAGTTTCCGATTCAAAATATTTTCAGCGTAAAAAGTCTGACTAAGGGTTTAAAAGGCTTTAGAATTTTGTCTTATGGCCGCGCCGCGTCTTCTTCCAGTCCAATTACCTGAGGTAAATAAATCAAGTGGAATTTACACTATAAAGTACAGCGTAGTATGAAGCCTCTACTACTAAATCAAGGGACTATAGTCCAATAAGCCTTTCGTCATTCTCATTAAAACCGCCGGCGAAATTTTCGGAAACCCATTTTAGACTAAATGTTCAGCACGGGGGGCGTCAAAGTTCGGATTAACCTATGAAGACGTCTTAACCGACTCCATCTGGTCCAAAATTTGTATGTGATATCTTCGAATTTATTGTTATCGATTTTTAGTATTAGACGAAAAAATATTTTTAATTTTTTGAGTCTCCATAGAGGTATTTGACCTTTGACCCCTTTGCCACAGGCATTAACCGACTCCAATCGGGGCCACAATTTATATGTAATATCTTCGACTATAGTAAGAATTTGCTTCCTATATTTAAGGACCACCCTAATGTACATATAAGGCAATTGTTCATCCAATTATATTCAATAGAATTTTCGTACATATGTTGGCCAACATACATCAAAAGGCTCAAAACTCTACAAAGGAAACAAAACAGCGCACTCTGCGCCACCCTTACAATTTCCAAAAGTGATATCGCATCCATCCCCATTTGGTTTAATTAACCGAAAGGTGACGTAAGAATTTAGCTGCTTCCTGCATTTCAATTGACGACAGTTGGACTTAAAAGAAAAGCGCCATTTTATTAGACTCTGCCAAAATCTCTTAGGGGACTACAACGCTTAACCAGAAGATGAAATGCCGGTTAGGCCTTTGGCCAATTTAACTAATTTTGGAACTTTCGATTACAAATAAAAGCTACTGATATCAATACGACCACAGGCCTTACCATATGCCTTACGCCATGGACTAATGGCTCCCAAAGCCCCAGCAGCAGTTTTGTGACTTAAACTGAGGCTCGAGACATCTCTCTTCTTAGTGCAAGCGGAAGTGTTGACCTTGCCGGAGGCAGCATGGATTATCGCGCATCAGCCTATCGGGAACAAAACAAGTCTTCATCTTCCCTGACAGTCAGTTAACCATGGAAGGTGCACAATGCAAAATTTCATACTGAATGTTGTGATCATTCAAAAAGAATAGCATAGAATTCAACTAATATGGGTGCCTGGGATACTGATACTCGTTGTAAAACAAACGATTTGGCAAGGAAAGTTTACACCACCAACATCCTTCCTTCCAATAGCCACCTAAAATCGATATGTATAACATCCGCCTGCTAATCAATGAAGGCACCCTCAGGATTAGTTGGCTTCTTGCTTGTATGGCTTAAATGGAAAAAGATTACGCATCTTGACAATATTTCATTGAGATCTTTTCATTGGCTTTTTTATTTAAAATATCTCTATTCTCGACATTCCCATCAATCTAAATGAATATGTATGTATGTATGTATGTAGATACATTAGGGTGGTCAAAGTTCTTTTTCCAGCCACCTCCAAAACTGAAAAGTATCGAAAATAAGGTGGTTCGTGTTTTTTTTTGTGAAATTGGTTAAGGTTAAACCGTGCCGCCGCGTCGTGGAAAAATTAATTATTTCGTAGATTTACAATAAAGTCGTTAAAATGTATAATTTTTCATCGAACAATATTATCGCGTACGTTATGAAACAAAAAAATAATTCTTTAAATATGGATCATAATTTAATTTTTTGAAGATTCTGAAGAAAAATGTTTATACTGAATCAAAAATTATTTATTTTTAACGATTTTATAGCAATCCTGCGTAGAAAAATATTTTCCCCATATAAAATATATGGAATACTTCAAATACATATTAACCGATTTAAAAATTAAAAAAAAATACGGTTCGCCTTATTTTTGATATTTTTTTGCTTCGGGGGTTATTACCAAAGCGTAGATTTTCTTTTGTAATTATGGGCCACTCTAATGCACATACACACACATATACTAAGTATTCATACTAACTAAATTTGCACACATACAGTGCAAGAAAATGCAAACAAACGTGAATGAATTCGAATGCAATTTTCTAAGATGCAACTATTACTCAATTGCAATCGTAATAGTAGAAAAATGGCAAAGATTTCGCAACATTTGGTAATACAAAGCCACACAGATAGCGTTGAGAGGCAAGCAACCGGTTACCAAATAGCGTTAGAAACCAGTTTTAAACGAAAAAAAAAACGAAGACCAAAGCGAATTGTAGTCAAATGAAAGTGAGA